TCCAAACCGTTCGAATAAGACAATTTTTTTATATTTACTTTAAATAATTTTTAAAAATGTGATATTTTCAAAAAAAAAGTAAAAAAAAAAAAAAAAAAAAAAAAAATCCTAGAAAACATTAATTTTCTTGTATAAAAGAATTTAAAGACTAACATACCCAGAAGGTAATACAGTATTTTCATAATTATTGCTCTGAGTACTGAAATATCTAATATTCGAGATTCAAAGTAAGTTAATACTTGTAAGCTGAATAAATTATAAGGAATTAAAAGTCATTGGGTAATAGATGTAACTGTAGTTTTAGTTAGGTACAAAAAGTCATATATGATAATAAAGTTTTATTAGCATTAGTGTACCAATTTTTTATCATATAAAAATTCAAAAAGTATACCTTTTGTTTAAGTGTAACCAAGTCAACTGGGTCACCTGGCTCTGGCTCCTTGAATGATTAAAGGATTGGGAAATCTCTGAATAGTGAATGCAATCATATTATCACTATTTTTAAGTATTACAAATACAGTAAACTGTAATAGATTAAAGATTGTTTTAAGTATAAATTCATTATAGATTAATATTAATATCAAGAAGAAAGATAATACACCTAACCAACTTAACACCACTTTTATCACAAACAGGATCTATCATACTAACATATCTCAAAACCTGGTTGTTATTTTTGCTGTTTGTTTTAAATTATCAAAATGTTAATCAAATTTTGATAATCTTGATAAGAATTTAGAAGATGTGACCAAGTTACGTAAAGGTTCAGGTACAATATTTTCTACAGGTAATATATCAAGAGATAGGTTCATCCCAGTCATTCTACCAAGAATTACGATCTAATAATTTTTAATTATAATTGTAAATATTTTGTATATTATCAAAAATATGCATTTAATTTAAAATAATAAATATTACTTTACGAGCAATATCTAACCTATTCAAATCATTACGCAGATCAGGTTCCTAACAAATATTAAGTATAAAGAATAAATTAAAAATTTTTTTTAAATCAAATAGATTCAGACAATTTGAAATTAATCAATAATTTTACTATGTAGCCATTATTTTTTGCAACAGTAACAATTTTAGAAAACTTTTGCCCATTATCATCACCTGATTTTGAGAATTCATTAAAAATATAACTTAATATTTCTGAGAATATACTTTTTATTCTATTAATTTTATCTTCAGTTCTAACCAAATCTTTTAATATACTAATAATTGGTAAACTAGCACCAACTATACTCTTATTAAAAAAGAGCTTCTTATTCTTTTTTGCTTTTTCGATAATTTCTTTATATAATGTTGCTTCACTACTAAGAGCCTTTTTATTAGGTGTTACAATATGTAGACCTTTTTTTAAAAATAAAAAATATTGAAAAGCTATTTCTTGGCTTGATGTATTGTCTATGATTATTGCTAGGCTACTCAGGTCATAACCTGAATTGTGATCTAGTATCACGAGCAAAAAGTAATATTTCCTAAAACATGATGAAGCTAATGAAACTGCATCTCCAGAAACAAGATTAGATCATCATAGGCTTAAAAGGCTTAAGGGATCATTAATGGAACAATCGATAGATGCCAATTCAAGAATTCTAAGCCTCTATAATAGCAAAACCCTTCTCCTGTTATATATAAGAATTAAAAAAACTATTTAAAGGATGATAGCAAAGCTCTTCTTCTGTTGCATATAAGAATTAAAAAAACTATTTAAAGGATGTTATAACACTAGAGGTTGGTAATGACTCTTATGTGCGAGGTAGGGGCATATAAGATTAATCATAATTATCGAATTCCCATTTTCCCAAATCACCAATGTCACGCCTCTGGTAAAACTTTAAAGAAAGTATACAAATTACCTGTAATATTTAGTAGTAACTTATTGAATTACTCATAACAATATAAAAATTACTATTTTCATCTGTCATACTGATACGTATTTATTTAGTAACCCAATAAGTAACCTAGAAGAAATTATTTAGAAGCACATAAAGAGCTAATATTTAATTTAACCAAAGTTTTTTTTTTTAAAAAAAAAAATAAAAATATGTTTCATATTCGACTAAATTAATTATTAATTTTCTCTAAATTATGGGTCTTAAAATAATACTTAGGACATTATTTTGTAGAAATACAGTATACAATTTTACTTCTAAGCTATTATACATTAATATAATATCATAAAAAAAAGTTTTTGTTTACTAACTGTAGCTCAGCTATTAGAGCTTCATCTTTTACTAAAGTTTCAGAGGCTTCTATTTCTCTGGAGTTTCATCTTTTGCCAGATATTTTGTCTTTTGTCAAGAATTTCGTCTTTCGTCTGAAGCTAAAATTTTTGCCAGATATAATCTCTACTTTAGAACAATACTATAATATGCAAAAAAAAAAAAAAAAAAATTAGTAAAATGATATATTTATTGAAATCATTATGACTATACATAAGCTTAAAATATTTGTAATTACATATTAGGTTATGTATTTTAAAAGTTTAAATTAAATTTAAATTTGAAAGTTTAAATTATATATAACCTTATTATGTATATTAAATTTAAAGTTTAAAGATTAAATATTATATAAATACCTGCTTTTTTCGTTAATTTTTCTATAGATCTACATATATGTAACAACTTTTATTAAATATGAGTAAATATTATATTTGGATTTTAATTAATGTTAATAAAATCTGAGTTCAGATTTTGTTAATTATTATTTATAGAATTATATTAAGTAATTAATTACTTAATATAATTCTATATGTAGTAATTAACAAAATCCGAACTCAGATTTTGTTAATTATTATTTATAGAATTATATTAAGTAATTAATTATTTAATATAATTCTATAAATAATATTTAACAAAATCCGAACTCAGATTTTATTAATTTATAGTAAAATTAGCTACGTACATAATTAGCAAAATATGAGTTCAGATTTTGTTAATCTATTATGTTGATAAAAGAAATTTGTGTAAAAATTATAAATATAAACTATACCTGTTAAAGTTAAATAATTCTATAATAGATTAACAAAATCTGAACTCATATTTTGTTAATTAAAATTAATTAATTATTGTTTTAAAAATAGTTTTTTTTTTTTAATTTTTTAATTTTTTAAATTTTTTTTAATTTTTTAATTTTTTAAATTTTTTTTAATTTTTTAGATTACATTAATAACAATTTGATGTGTTCGTTGTATTTAACAGTTATATTTAATATAAACAATCATATTAAATATGTTGAATTCTTAGAAAATAAAATAGAAATAATATATTAAGATAATAGTCAAAAATGATTTTATTATAATAAAATTGGTGCCAAAGAGGATATAGAATTTGTAAATGAAATTTCATATAAAATGGATAAAATACTAAAAGTGGATTAGAATTTTTGGGAAAGTGAAACAAATGAAAACTTCTATGAAAGTGAAACAAATCAGAATTTCTATGAAAGTGAAGCAAATCAGAATCTTGATAAAAGTGAAACAAGTCTGAACTTTAATGAAAGTAAAAATAATCATTCTAGTAAAAGTAATGTTTTTAAAATAAAATATGAAGAACTATACATATTTTCATCAAAAAGTAAGTATTTAATTTATAATTAATTTCATATTTAATAAATAGATTTACTAATAATATATTA